CAGTACTCGTGGAACCTTGCTTACGAGTGCCCCACGATCTAGTTTTTTTGGAAATGAGCCGTCGCCGTCAATTTTTGCTCTTGGATACGAGCCCCAAAAAAACAGTTGTGGCTTCCCCCCCCCTCAAGGGGGGTTCCCTGACACTTTTGAGTGGCTCTGACAAGGGAATTGTTCTGTGCTCCAGTTCCTAAATTATGCTAATACCTTCCCTCTCCTCCCTCCACAGGGTGTATAACCCACGGGGTTTTGTGCTTCCCCATTATAAAATAATTAATATAATAATACGGGGCCCCGGTTTTCGGCCATGGGAATCGTCAGTTCGGGTTTCGAGCCTTTTTTTTTTTTTTTTTTTTTTGGGGGAAATTTTCCCCCAGGTTTGACATCGCTCAGAAATCGTTGGTAACAGACACGTTGCCTAGGCCGCTCATATTTCATGACTCACCCTTGGGGACATTAAATGTCCCATTGTATTTTAAAAATAGACATTTTAATACCGCTATGATATTTTCTTCAAAAAATTTTTTAAGAAACTCATTACATACATAAAACATGCCTTTTTTTACTTTGTTCCTAAAAGTGGGCCTCTAGTCTTAAGTCATAGTAAAAAATAATTTTTTTTTCCCCTGAGGCAGGGTGAGAAAAAAAAAAAAATCCCTAAAAAGAAATACTTTTATCATCATCAACACTTTTGCCCCCATTCATCCTAACACCCATCTTTGCAGAGGTGCCAGAACAAAGTTTTAAAAATACCCCAAAATGTCAATATCCCAGACCCCCCTTTAAAATGCAGGCATTGTATTCCATTTTCAGGGCTCAAACCCATCTAAATCTATAATAAACCGGTTTTTCCCCGAATCTCTTCCCTAAATATTAACCTCTCGCATCCAACGCCGTCAGGCCCAAAATCCCTTTTTTCCCATTTACTTTTATTAACGCTACTCCGCTTGCGGGAAATCCAAGCCCCTGCCCCCAAAACCTCCTTTTTACCCCCACCCTCCAATCTTTTCGAACAACCCCCACCCCGCTTTTCCTTCCCCCAGATTTAAACCTCTGTGTCATTTACTTTGATCCCTTTTCCCCTAAAGACCCAAACCGCCCCCAAAAAACCCCCCTTAGCCCTCTGACTAATACTTTTATTAATTCCACACCTCCAAAATTTTCCCCACTCCAAAATTTTCTGCAAATATTTACACCCACATTGCCCCTTTGACAGCATCTCCACTGCCCCAACCCCTCCACGCAGCATTTTTTCAAAACCCCGCTTCACACCCATATAAGATGTTGGTACCACCGTACTTTCATAATTTTCTTCTTTGCCTCCATTTATAATGTTTTTTTGCTCCACATTCCCAATGCACCCCTCACCTTTTTTCTTCATCAATTTAGGTTAACCTAATCCCTCAAAACCCATCTGCTGAACGTCAATTCCAAAAATAAAAAAACATTATTTTTTCCATACCCCCCTCGTCCCAAAGGAAAACCCCAAATTTTTTTTTTTTCTAAATTTTTTATCTCATCACTTACTTATCTGTGCACTTGCAACTTTCTACCTTTAAACACACCCCCCAAATCGTCCACTTACCTTTGCAATTTTCTTTAAATTCCCATAAGACGTATCATCAACAAAAAGAACTGGTCAACCCCATTTTGTACTTGATTCCCCTAATTTAATCCACCCCCCTCCCCCAAAACCCCAGCTTTACCCCCTTTACAACCCCCTCTAAAATATATTTAAAAAACCTGGTGACATTTCACTCCCCGTCTAAGACCTACTTTTACTGGGGAAATAATCTCCCTCTCCTTATGCCCCCAACCCGAGCCCACTATCCTCATAAAAAAATCTTTACAGCATTTACAACTTTCAAAAACTTACAACATCTGCCACATTGCTTTCCCTATCCCTTTTTTAAACCAAAAAGCAATGAAAACTTCCCCCCCCTTTTTCTAAACACTGGTCACATATATGCTTTTATGTAAACACTTGATCTAACATCCCCTACCCACTTAATGCCTTTTGCTCATCTGCAAAACTCT